CAGTATTGAAAGCTGTTGCTGCTACAGAGAATTCTTGATGATAATTTTAAGCCTTGTGTTTGGATGATAAGACCACCATGTAAAACTCCCAGAGACTTGCTGAGATTGTGCTGCCTCTGTTGTATTATTTGACATGTTTATTTGATCATGTTTACATGCATCTCTTTATGAAGGTCATTTCCAGCATTTCAAGAAAGTCACACTGAAATAATTAAAATTTCAGTGTGTGGAGTTGTGTTGACTTAGCTTTGTGTAAACAACTGAGTTGCTAACACAGTTGGGACGCTAAGGCATATAGCTCGTAGTCCTCTTCTTTTTGAGCTTACGGGGTAAATAACATTATAAAGTAGCTGCTGTGCAAATAAATCAGCCTTCCGTGTTGGCTGCAGTCATGTACTTTCTCAGCAGGTTCCACCACCACAGAATGAGAGGATGTACTAAGACTGAGGGACTTAGAGATCCTTGCCAATTATTTTGTGCTCTAGTGGTTAAAGACTCTGGTCTTCTACCATTTATTACTCCCTTCCTTTGCATCTCCCTTCTGGCTTCTTGCAGCTGTATGGAGCATGCCCTAGGCAAACAGGTAGATCTTCTGAAATTTCTCCTAACTTATCTGATGCAAAAATTACAAAAAGTAGTTTCTCACTTGAGCAGAATTGGGCAGCCTTGAAGAGTAATGGCAAGAGGCACACACCACACTGCATAGCTGATCCTCTGGCTAAATACCTGATTGCTGCAACGTGGAGATGCTATAGTTGCAGCAGAACTGAGCAGAAGGTACTCTGAATGTTATTCTTATACAAGAGGTAGACATTTCAGGTGAATTGTTCAGAACTGTTTAGTCTAAAGCAGACTATAAATAACTGGGTCTTCCAGAACTGAAGTTTGGCAAATGTATAAGCAGTTGAAAATAGGGTCTTGTAAGTGAAGGAAGCTGGAGTATAACCTTAATTGAAGCAGTTGTCACTGTTGTCATATATAGTGCCCTAAAAGCAGGAATAGATAAAATCTGATTTGACAGAAAACACTACTCAGATTAAAGTATAATCCTTTGCTTTGTTGAGCCAATGCAGGGAAGAGGCTAAGAGCCAAGCTATCACTGAGCCACCTCTTTGAAGGAAAACTGATTCTTAACTCAGTCATCAGCCACACCACACAAATCTAACCCGTACTTCTCTCTCTCATGCCTTGGATGTCAGTGTACAGAGAAGGGCTTGTGCTGTTTGAAAATACTTGTGGGTTTTCTTCTTGTGTTGCACTTGTGGCAGGTTGGCACTACAGTTATTCAAGCCTTTATTTGGTACATTTGTAGCATTGACTTGATTTCAGGCATTGCTAAAAAAGTGGAGCAAAATCATATACTACATTTTTTCACCAGATTTCTAGCTGCATTTATGCAACGAAGAATAATTGTTTGTATCAATCTATGTATGTGTGCATTTGTTTTAGAGTGGGAGTATATGATACGGTGTTTAGTTTGATTTGAAGACCAACACTTACACAGTCACAAGCCTGGTGGTCCTAGCTACCAGTACCACTTTACAAACAAGATCATGAAATATGTGTGTATAGTCACTTAAGTAGATTTGTTTGTGGTTTGTTTTTGGGTTTTTTGGGGGGCGGGGTTTGTTGTGGGTTTTTTTGTTACTGTTGCATTTGGGGTTTTTTTGTTTGGTTGGAGTTTTTTTGTTGTTTTTCTTGTTTGGTTGGTTGGTTTTGTTTTGTTTTTGTGTTTTTTAAAAAATTTAATGACCTTTTCTTGGTGGATCTATCAGTTCTGTAGTTGCATTAATACGGGTGTGATGAAAATGCAGCCTTGTTGCCTTCTGTGAAACCATGAAACCATAATATTCCT